GGCCGGGGGGTGCCAAGAGGCGGCGCCGCGGGCGGAGGCACCCCATCCCCCGCTCCCGCCCGGGAGGTGGTGGTGAGGGGTGTGCCCCTGACGTCGTGCCCTGATCCCAGTTTCCTATTTGCCTTCCCTTTCGTGGGGGTGGGGGACGGGGAGCCTCTTCCGGAATCCCGCTCGGTTTCGAGAGAGACTTCCTCGCCCTAAATTGGAGCAGAAGTGGTGTCCCCAGCTGGGCACCAGCCCAGAAGTTCCGGCAGCCCAGTTCTCCTTGCGGGGTCGGTGTCGCCTGGGAACCCAACTACCGCCCGGGGTTCTACCTCCGGCTGCGCGCCCCTCCCCGGGATGCCTGGCGCCCCTCTGGAGAGAGCCAGGAGCACTGTTCAGCTACTCACCTGATCTTCACAGCGGAGGGTGGCGTCGCAGTCCGTACACTGGAAGAAAGGAAAAAAGCATCCAACGAGAGAGTAAAGACGTGTTCACAGGAGAAACCCCCCACACCCCCCACTGTTGCTCCCAGGGTTTAAAGATGCCCTGCAAGCAGTTTCCACTTCCGCACTTCTTTTCTATGCATCGGTTCTTGTCCTTGACAAAGTAGTGACACAAGTGGGAACCTTCAGATCTGAAGATTCAGCTCTCGGAAACAGTATCAGTGGGTCCTGGTCCTGGAGGGAGACGCCTCCTCCCCACCAGCGTAGGCACACCTGTAACCCTGTATACAGGGCTGCACACGAGAGCAATATGCCACCTTCGAATGCCCACATCTGTCCTGGAGCGAGCCGTTCATGCATGTCACACATGCGTGATCTATCCAGAAATTAGAATAATTAAGAAAATGACTGCTCCTGTGTTCTAGACAATCTGAAGCACACCTCATCCCACAATGGCATCCCAAGGCATCTAGAACCTTAGACAGACCTGAAGGGCAACCTCACTGGTTAGGTCTCAGCTCACAAGAATTCCCTCTTTTACTCCTCTCTTTTTCTCAAGCCTTCTCTTTCTCAAGCCTATTTTTTTACCTTTTTCTTTTTTATTTCCTGCGCCAGCGGAGCAGCAGGTTAGCCCAGTATAGACACCCCTGATGGGTCATGGGTTACCTATCAACATCTGCTCCGCATCAGCATCTGCACACTTAATGTCTGCCACTTTCTAGGTTGTCATTTTAGAGGCAGATATATCTCAATATCACTTGCAAAAATTTCTGACATAATGCTGGGTCATGATCTTTTCCCAAAATTATTTTTCTTTTTTTGAAAGTAAAACTGTGGTGTGTGTGTGTGTGTGTGTGTGTGTGTGTGTGTGTGTGTGTTGTGTCTATGTGTGTACTCTTCTGATGAAAACACGTTGTTTTTAAAAAGGTTTCTTCACTTACCGTCAGGTCCTTAGAAATGATGTTCAGGTAATCCATTCGAATCTTCTCAAAGTCGCAATCAGAGAAATTGTTGGTTAGCACCAACCCTACCAGTTGCAAAATGAAGATCTTCCTGAAAGAAGCTGACAGAACAAATAATAAGGCATCAGGCAATGTATTTGAAAACCCACTTCCACCCCAGGTTCACATTAAACTCTTTCCACCCACACTGAATTGCCTCTAGATCTGCAAGACCAGCCTTAGGGGCAAGGGCCCGGCACCAACTACTCTTTGCCTCTTATCCCCAGTGTACAGAAGCCCATATTCACCCATGCTGCTGCCTTAGGTTGGAGTCTCCCTGATGCTCCAGAGCCTTTTGGCTCCACATATATACTACCTAAACGCCTACGGGCCCTTTTCTCCTAGGCCAATGATTTTCCTTGATGTCATTTGCTTCCTTCAGAGAATTCTGAATTGATGACATGAAAGAAAAAAATAGGACTAGCCAAATCTATGGAATTTTACCCTTAGTAAAATCAGCAGTAATTTCCCTCTCCTCCTGTGATCTTTGTCCTAATTCTGTGATATATGCCTGGATGTGCTTTAAGAAGGAGATACCCACACCTTCCTCCTACAGGGCCATTTCCAACAAGCCCCTTTCTTGATGGAAAAAATACCCCCAAACAGCATCCACTCTGAGAATGGGGTTCATGCCATACACACTTAGCATTTCCTTTGGCCAATTTCAACTACTGCTTTCCCTCCTCTGTGGCCACTGAGAAAGTTCATGTGCTTACTTCATGGGATGCTTTAGAGTGTGGGTGCAACCTGAGGCTTGGACCAAGTTCCCATGTGAATGTATTAAATGTGCAATAGTGACCAGAATCTTAGAGGCAGGAACGAGAAAATGCTGAAACGAGTGGGGAAGAGTCTGATGGTCAAAGCACCCTTTTGGGGTCGGGGTGGGGGATGGCGGGGGAAGCGCCTCGGAGGCTATGCTCTCCTCTAGTACTTCTACAGGCGTCAAGAACGTTTAAAACCACTAACCCCAGCCTCCAGTCACCTTCACAGTCTCACCTCTGGGGCCAAACGTAAGAGCCAGGACGCTAGACTCAAGCAGTGGGACCAGATGGCGCGGCGCGGAGCGGAGCGCAGCGGCGGCGCGCGCCCTGGGAAGGAACTGTCCAGCGCGCCGCGATCCCAGACGCTGCGCTGTTAAGCGCCCTGCGCCCCACGCTGCAAGCCTAGACAACTCTGCTTGCCTCGGGTCCACGTTGGGACCTGAGCACCCGCACCTGTTTTGGGAAGGGGGGAAGGCGCGAGAAGGAGGTCACGTATTTGAACTGGCAAACCCTTGTTAACACAGCCAAGCAGAGTTTAAATTCAGGGAAGTGAGTCAGGGAGAGTGCCAGAGAGGATGCCGAGCCGCCTGTGGCTCTGGCAACGCCAGCCGAGTGTTAAAAGGACGAAAGCCCGCCTCCTAGCAGGCTGCTACAGGACTAATCACGCTCTCCTGAGCTTGACCTCCTGCCGCCCGGGCTTTCCTGACTCCCAGTTCTCCTCCCTCTTCCCCCTTCCCTTCTTTCCGGAGCCTAACGAGCCCTGGTCCTTGGGAAGTTCTTAGTAGTTATCACCGGAGCTCCCAGGGCAGGGTGACCCGCGTGAGTTCCTAGCAAATGTCACAGGTCACATGGCACCTGGGAACAAAAGGAGGGGTGGCAAGAGAAGAGAAAAAAAGCACAGTCTCCGAGTTGGGGGTTAGGACTCGAGCCAGAAGTGAACTTTTTTTTTCCATAGAAGGCGCTCAGCAGCTGTACCAATACAGCTGGACCCAGTTCTCTGGGTAAGGACTGAGAATAAAGGTTGTGGCGCTGGCAGCAGTAAGGGAAAGCCTATGATTCACCGCATGACTTCAAAGGTGGGCTCTTCTGGAACCCTCCAAGTCTAGGGTTTAATGTCATGCAGCATCCTTTGGTAGAGAAGCGCCCCCGCCCCCATCACCAATTTTTCAGGGTGTCTTGGGATAATGCCCCAACCGGATTCATCCGCTGTGACATTAGAGGTGTTCCTGGTGGACACCTGGACATTGTCCGGCCAATCAGGAGATGAAGACACAGATCTCTCCCCTGGGTGAAGATATGCGCGTGGGGCAGTAACAGAAGAAAGGCCACCCTGACTGAGGTTCTATTTCCAATTTTCTAGGGTGTAACCGAGCTGCCTCCTTTTCTTTATTTCTTCCTTTAAAACATTATATCTATGGCAACTTTGAGATGAGGCAGACAGGGTACCTCCTCCTCGGGCATTCTAGAGGATGGCTCTTAGACTGTTAAACACACTGCTAAACATTTGTCCCTGGGACCCCCTATTTCTTTATCTGTAATTGTGTGACCTCCTAAATCACTTCAATTACATCACTTTTCTGCTTAAAAACTCTTGGTAGACTCCCAGTTGCCTTGCCATTTACAACCATCTCTCCCCTCTTGGCTCCATGCCAAGCATGTCAAACTCACAGGCTGGCTGCATGGGGCCCACAACGAATATTTTTGTGGTCCGGCCAATATAACAGTATGTAAGAAACGTTTTAATAAAAACTTCATAGCTTAATTTTTACACTCTCCTTTTATACAGAAATATTAATAACAAACTACAATGTTCGCTGACTACTACAATCGTGTTGCATTCATTTCTCTTACCCACCTAATGCACAGGTGCACCCTTTCTCTCCACTAATACTACCAGCGAATATTTTAGCAGCCTAATTTTTATTAAAATGTTCTATTATTTTATGTTGATGATTACTTATTTATTTCAGCCCTTCTTATTCAGCATGTCTCTATCAACCTAAACCTACGTTTCTATGAAAATTGAGGCTTTTGTTTTTTTGTGACCCACATAAGCTTAACCCTTGTTTATTTGGCCCATGTTAGCTTTTGAGTTTGACATGCTTGCTCTATGCTGTCTTTCTAGCATTATTGCCAATCTTTTAGGCTTCTGCCAAATTGTACTTAAAGTAAACATGCTCTAAATGTGCCCTAATCTTTGTTCTTTCAGCCTTCCCACCCTCAGATTTTAACTTTCTCCTGTTAGTCCATGCTCGTTTCACTAGCCATCTACTCACAAGTGGTCTCCTACCTGCCTGTGACCACATTTTCCTTTTAGATATATTTATCTTGGACTTCCCTCTTATGACCTCAATTCATTACATAATATTTCAAAGATATTTTCTACTTTATTTATTTATTAGATTGTGAGTTTCCTTAGAAGCAAGCAATTTAGGAATTTGTTCAATATCCATTTACTTTTTCCAAAGACATTTGGAGTGACTTGCAATAATTTCATCAGTGCAAGAAGGTAAAAAACAGTCAAGATGAGGCAACATAAAGCACAAAGAATAAAGAGGTGAGGATCGGTTACAAGGAATGCCACAGGAGAGCATTATTAAGAACTAGAGAATTAAGGCAAGCTCAAAAGTGAGTTCTGATCTTGCAGTCATTGCAAAGAAGAACATAAGATGGGCTCTACAAGTTTATTAGGGAAACCATTTTTTTCTTAGGACTGTGGTCATCATCATAGCCACCATAGGTCCTAGTCTTATATGCTGTATGTAGTAATAGATACCTAAAGATACTCAATAAACTGAAGTATATTAACTTTCTTTTAAGACCATTGCCAGGTAGCAAATCATTTCCTATTAAAAGAATCTCTCCTAGTAAAAGAAGACTTCTTTTTTTGGCTTTTTGCTGCCACCATTCTGTAATCTACTTATGACTTGCCTGTGGCAATCATTCAGCTAAGGGCATCTCTGAAAATTCGTGATGGGCTAAAGAGCTTCCCATTTTCTCTCTCTTCATCTGTTCAAATGCTGAAGGTGTGAACAGTATCTACAGTTTGGGAAATCCTAGATTAGGTCAAGAATTGAAGTGAGATCATTTGTATCACTGTGATTACTCAGAGCTTATGCAATTCTCTTACTCAGGAATGGACCAGAAAATGACCTACGACACAACTCTCTTTTCTCCTACCCTAACTAGAAAGATCTGTCATTCACTTATTTCCTTAATATTTTTATTTTTTTTAAAGTAATGGCTCCCTTTGTTTTTCATTCCCTTATTTTCTCCCTCCCTCTGTTTAAATTCACTTCCTTCCTCTTCTTTTAACTGTCATGAATATTTAAGTAGATTGAAGTTGACTGGGAGGGGGAAAAAGATTCTATATTTTAAAAATGTATTAAATCATAGAGTCTTTGGACTTAAAATGGAATGGGTATTAGGTAGGTTGAGAAAGAAAATGGGAAACCTCTTGATGAAATGGAAGATATTTCCTTCTACGGAGTAAGAAACATGGATGATGCCAACCTTATCTTGGCAATATTTTAGAAAGTGTAACAATGGACTTTCCCTAGCAGATGGGTGGTTTTTGGGGGAGGATTGGAAGTAAAGAGATTGCTGACTATATAATCACTCTACTTCTTGGCTTTTGTATACTTATCCAAAAAGGAAGGGCTACACTTTGCAAGGGTGAACATTTTTTCTTTCTTGAAATTTTACCTACATTTTTTGTAGTCAGGTACAGTATTTATATAATGTGAAGTGCGTCAATGTGAAGTCAACGCAGCACATATTTATTTGACCCATTAATTTTGCATTGTACGTTTGTACTCAACAGCCTTTCTGTTGGTCTGAACCATTGATTCATCAAATTCCATACATCCTCTAAGATTCTTTGGGGAGATTTGTAGACCAGAAAGTGAAGTGAGTTAACTATGACTCATGTGAAAAACATACCTTTTATTTTGTTTCATTTTCAGGCCAGTGATACTTGCATGATCAGCCTATGGATCAGAGAGTGAAGGAGACTAAATATATGCATAAAAGCCTAGTGCTTGCAGTTATTCCTCTGTAAAGAAACAGTCGTAGCCTCAGCCAATTGTAGGTAAAAGATCTTGCTTGCTTTACTGTTTTTCTGCAATCTAATAGGAAACAAAAAGGGAGAAGATTATGCAAGAAAAAGGTAGGTATTGAGTTTTCTTAGAATGTTTCAAAATAGTTGTAGAAGAGGTCAGAGTTCAAAAATAGTTCCAATTTTAGATACTTTCGCAAGGATAGTTACCATAGTTGTAAATAAAGTATCTTCTATTTTCCCCTCTAGATATGCTCTCCACCCATCCTTATCTTGCTTTGTACCCCAGGGAAGCTGACCTATAAGGACTGCATCAAAGTCTCCATAAACCTCCAGTTTCTGGTTGGGTTCAGCCAATGGGAAATATTGGCAAGAGTTCAGAAGGTAGGAGGACAGTAAATTGGGATTTTAATTCACCCACTCCTTTTGTGTTAGCTCTTCGCAGCTTGCATGCTTTTCTTCCCTGAAGGCCCCAACCCCTGTTAGCTGACCTCTAGAACTTGCTACATTGGTTCTGGCAACCCTTTCCTTTCTTTGTCTCTTTATCATCTAAGGGTGATAATAGCTTCTTGCTAGCCTGGGGGCACTGTTCTATTCTAAACATTACAACTTGGCTGGGCCAGATCCAGTTTATACCCATTGTTCTGACAACATTTATTAATAAAGTTTCATTTTACCTTCAAAAGTGGCACCATTTAAATAATAAGTTATATTAATATTGCTGATTTCCCTACTTATATCCGTTATAGATAATTCCTTTGTTACCCAATTTGAGTGTGCCATTTGTTTCCTGTGGGCCTCCTAACTCATTGTCACCAGGATGTGATCACTTACAGCCATCAGCTAACATTCCTGTCCTTTACCTTGTGGGATCAGACTAGTTCTATAACTTTTATAGAGGAAACAGTGACTCCTAATATATAATTAAATTATAATTTTTTTTAAAAAAGTTCTTGCTCTTTTCTTAACAGTGAAAGATACAAGAAATTTTTCAGTTTTCCTTTTATTGCCAAATGACATCTTTTCCTAGTAATATTGCTAGACTGGATTTGCAAGAAAACTACACACCCACTTAACTCTATTGCATAACTTGCTTAGTAGCTGAACCCTCATTGTTTATATATAAAAGCGTCATAAGAAAAGTGACCATTATGTGAGTCAAGTAGTAGGCATTAGCTTATTTCTCATCTGGTATGTTTGAGGTCCTCCAAGTAGCTCCTCTATGGTGAGTCCACTATTATCAATAATAATATCTGAGTTACACAATCACTCCAAGTATTTCCTCTGCGTAATGTAACAACCCCCTCACAGCCATTTTATAATCATTTTGGTCTACTTTCTGAGAATGGGCTGCCTGAGAATTCCAGACTCATGGTGAGGGTGAAGGGAGAAAAAAACAAGAAAAGGAGGAGACTGAAAAGTTGAGGAAGATAAATGGACAGCAAAGATATATAGTGTCCATTAACACAGAGAATAGTGTGGTGAAGGCCTTGGGTAAGGGGCAGGTGTGGGCTAGAAGGGGTCAATGGGGGAAAAGAGGGGGCATCTGTAATATTTCAATAATAAAGATTTTTTTTAAAGACATATAGTGTCCAAGTTTGACTCGGGGCATGTCCTCAGGTGGCTCTGTCATTTAGAAAAGATGTTGGGAATTTAGAGCAGGTGGTCAGCAAACTGTAACTTGTAGACCAAATCCTGTCCACTGTGTTTAAAAACAAAGCTTATTGGAACACATTTATAACCTTTTGTTTTCAGCATTGTCTCTGATTCTTTTTGCACTATAAAGACAGAATTGAATAGTTGAAATGGAAATCATGTGGTCTGAAAAGCTTAAAATATTTGGTATCTGGCCTTTTATAGAAAAAAATTATAGACCTTTGGTTTAGAGGCTCATCCCACTTAACCTTATAATGGATTTGGTAGTTGACTCTCTATACCTGTACAATTCATGTATCAAAAAGATTGTCACCAGCGCCTAAGGTCATGTGTCTCCAAAACAGTAATCTCTCCTGAATACAGTCTTTAAATCAAGGGAATTTTCCCTTCTCTTCTTACACCCACCTTTGTTCAACAAAATTTGTAGTGTAAACTCCTAATTCATACTAAGCACCTAGGAATATTGATTAATTACACTCCCAAATTCCCAAGACCTTTCTCATCTATGCCTAATAGTTTTAAAGGTTCAAAT